GAAGAGCTGACATTGTGACAACATCGAGTCTTCGTATCCCTGAACGTGAAATGCCTCTCTATCTAATTAGTACTTCTTTATTTCTTTAATCAGAGTTATGTAGATTTTTAAAATGTGGCTCTTATATGTATTTTTGCTAATTTAAATGAAAGTGTTTCATTTTTGGTGCTAACACAAATGATATTGTGTTTTTTATTTTGAATCATTCTTGTTTGTTGCTGTTGTATAGAAAATTGATTGGCATTTGTACGGGAACCTTGCACCTTGAAAACTTGCTATGGAAGCTTGTTAACTTCAGGACATTTTTTGATGATTGCATTTAATTTTATAGACAGTCATGTCGTCTGTGATAAAGACAGCTCCTTTCTCTCCAGTCTGCACCTTTTGCTTCCTCTTCCTGTCTGTTGCATTACTGAGGACTTCCCTACAACACGGAAGAGCAGGGGTAGGAGGGACAGATGCCCTCACCTTGCTGGTGACTGGGGTGAGAAGGCTTCCAGTTTCTCTCTGCTGGGCATAATGTGTGTTCTTGTACATGGTCTTTCCAAGCTGAAGAAGTACTTCTCTATTCCTACTTGGTGGAGAGTTTTGTTTTTGTTTTTTTAATCATGAGTGAATGTGGAATTTTATCACATGCTTTTTTTGTGTCTTTTGGTATGATCACATGACTTTTATTTTTTTTTTTTTTACTATTTTTTTTAGCTATAGATGGACACGATACCTTTATTTTATTTTAATGTGGTGCTGAGAATCGAACCCATTGCCTTCCACATGCAAGGCGAGCACTCTACCACTGAGCTGCAATCCCAGCCCTGACTTTTCTTTTTTAGTCTTCTGATATGACAAATTATATTAATTTATTTTCAAGCATTGAACCAGTCTCATATAACCTGGAATAAATTCCACTTCGTCAGCATAGCAATCTTATTATACAGCACTGTATTTGATTTGATAATATTTAGTGCACATTTTTTCATCTGTGTTCATGAATGAATGATATCAACCTATAGTTCTCTTGTGTTCTTTGACTGGTTTCAGTAGTAGGGTAAAGATGGGCCCATGGGATGGACTAGGAGATACTCCCCCTGTTTCTGTCTTCTGGAAGAGACTTTAGAAAGCTGGTGTATTCATCCTTTAAATTTTCCATAGAATTCACCAGTCCATTCATCTGGGTCTGATGAATGTACTTCTGCTTTAGAAGGTTATTAGTTATTGATTTGACATAATTTGTAGACGTGGGTCTATTAACATTGTCTAATTCTTCTTGTGCAAGTTTTGGCCAATTGTGTCTTTCAAGGCTAGGGTCTGTTTCTTCTAGGTTAGCAAGTTTGTGAGCTCTGTGGAGATTTTCACAGCATTCCTTTATCATCCTTTTAATGTCTGTGGGGTCTGTAGTATTGTTCTCTCTTTCATTTCTCATATTAACACAGGTGGTCCTTGGCTTAGCATGGTCTGATTTATGATTTTCTGACTTGATGGTGATGCAAAAGCAGTATGCATTCAGTAGAGACCGAATTTTGCATTTAGATATTTTCCTTGGAAAGCAACATGCAGTGTGATGCTCCTTTGCCACAGCTCCCCTCAGCCATGTGGTCACCAGGAGTCATTTATTGCATACGTGTTCTGAATCTTACCTCTAGAAAGAGCACAGATCTTTATTGTCAGACAGATAATTCAGGTGATACATGTAAATGCTAATGGCAACGCTAAGTGGACAACTGACAGCCTAGAGGGTGCTGTGTCCCTGAACTCTGATGTTTGTAGGTTAGGTATATTCATGCATTTATACTTATAATGGGTTTATCAGGACATCATAAGTTGAGAGCCATTTTTTTCTTCTTTTTTCTCAGTTTAATTCTAGCCATTTTATTTTTATTTTTTTTTTTATCTTTTCAAAGAACCAGAATGTGGTTAGTCTGATTATTATTCATTCATCCACTTATTTATTTATTTAATTTTTGGTGGTGTTAGCAGTCAATCCCAGGGCCTCACCATTCTAGAAGGCACTCTACCACCAAGCTACATCCCCAGACTGTTGTTGTTTTTTTTTTTTTCCTATTAGTTTATTATTTTTAAATTCCATGGATTTCTATTTTAATTTCATTTCTTTCCTTCTGTTTACTTTGGATTCAATTTGCTTTTTCTCCCCCTAGTTTCCTGAGGTGGAAACTAGTATTGTTAAATATCAACATCCCAGGGAATAATAGGGAAATTCCTTTGGACCTCACTCTTGTGAGGGTGAAACAAGTGTCAGATCTCTTCCAAGCACAGGTACACACACACACACACACACACCATGAGATAGGTGCTGTGGCCTGGGCTCTCCTAGAGCGTATGTTTCTGAACATTTTTGCACTCAAAACAAGACAAAAATAACTGAGTTTAAAAAATCACAGGTAGCAGAATGGACGTCTAAACCGACAGTCCTGGCTGTTTCTGAGTGGCGTCCTCTGGAGGAGTGCTGGGTTGGTGAGAGGTAGCTTTATCTGGGCTTGTGTCTGGCGTGGGTCCAGCCTGGCTGGCATTCCCACCCAGGTCCGTCCCTCAGCGCCCAGCCCAGAAGCCCTGCCACTGGCTTCTGAAGCGACCCTCCTGGTTTGTGGTAACATCAAACCATGATGAAATTTTTACCTCATAGAACTCAACTCTGCTTTTTTTTTTTTTTTTGAAGTCTGTATTTTGACTTTTCTACGTCAGTTTCCAAAGCATCACTCTTCATGCCAAAGGCCCTTGAAATAGAATGTCAATGGGTTCTCTTTGCCAACCTAAGTACATTCCTGTGATACCTATTGAGGCAAATATTAAGAGTTCATTTATTATATACTTGTTCTAGATTCTACTAATCAGTGGGAAAAGAGCATATGGAGAATTGTCAGGCAGATAATTCAGGTGAGGTCTATGAATGGCTTATGGAGGTGAAGTACAAGCAGCTCCTAGTTCAGGTCCTAATTACGCATCAAGAAGAACATGCCAGAGTGAGGGCAGGGACAGGGAAATGCTTGCCTGTATCCAAAGGATGAGGGAGACCTCAGAAATGAATCATCAAAGTGAACGTCATTTCAACACAGTATTTTGAAAATAAAAATCGAAGCAAAAACTCTATTGACAAGCAAAATATCAAAAACTTAGGATATTACACTGCCATGCCAAGCCACCAAATCTGAGGCCAAAGGAAAATGTACGTCCCTATACAAATGTTTTTGCATATTTCTGTAAAGGTTGTATTTTAAGAACACTGAAGCATTTGAAAAATATTAGAGCATTGAAAAGCAGATATTTTAAAACTTATTTTGATCTAAATATTTTATTTACACCAAGACCAGAATTGACAACAATTTTATGTTCCCCATTTTAAAGGAAGTAAATCCATCAATGATCTCTCTTAAATACTTTGGGTAAACTATTTAAACTGTACACAAAAGCCAGCCCTAAAGGAGCACACATTTTTTTCTTTTGCCCGAGGCTGCTCTGTGATGGGGCAGCTACATACACAGTCAGCACCTCCTGCTCCTCAGGGGTGGCCAGGACTTGGGACCTAGCCTAGAGATTTGGCTGTAGGATCCATTCAATCAGGCAAAACAACATCTGAGCAGGTTTTCCTTTCACACTTCCTATTTTTCAAAGAATGGTCTCTGTGCTCAGTTTAGCTTGGCATTAGAGAGTGGATCTCATCAGAACAGAGTCAAAAACAGGATTCCCAAGGCTCAGAATAGATTTCTTCCTATCAAATTCATTTAAATGTGAGTGTGTGTGATTTTTTTTTTGGGGGGGGGTTAATTTCAAGTTTATTGTGAACAGAATTACTAGGGATTTTGGACAGAAGTGACGGTGAGACTCAGCTTGAAGGAAGCATATGAAACCGCAGATCTATGCCGAGTTCTGGAAGTGGCTCCTGATGGGCCCAGCATGCTGTTTCAACTATTCCCATCCCCCATCTAAAAATTTTGCAGTTCTTCTAAAAATGAAAGTAAAAGCGCCACAAATATACTTGAGTTCCAAATTAGTTTTAAGTTAGCCTGAGAAGATAATTTTAGCCACATTTAGTTTGAAGTAAAAGGTTAAATAAAACATGTGCCCGGATTTTTATGTCACGGGCATGAAAACTTGTGAGCAAACTTTAAATTCCATTTTGACTCAGGGTTGCATTAATTAAGTAGGGGTTTGAGAAATATAAAATCTGGAGTTTCCTTGGAACAAATACAGAAGATCCAATACTTCACTGGCCAATGGAGCTTTTTGAAAATTATTCAAATTGAGTTCGGTGGGAGGGTTAGTTTGTTAACTAGCTACGAGGTGGAGACATCACCGGAAAGACAGTCTGCGAGGTTGTGGGAGAGAAGACACTGGGCTTCTCCAAGTACCACAAGTAGGTGAAGAGGCGCGTGTGGGGCCCTGTGCGGGGCAGGACTCCACCCACCAGGTGTCTGGGAAAGCTTGGCCGGCAGGGCCAGGGGGGCCACTGAGTTCTGGAGGCTGAAGGGGAAGGTCAGGGAGAGGAGTGTGTTGCAGGCAGGAGAAAGTCAGGGGCAAAAGCAGGCAGGGAGCTCGGGAAGCTCAGAGCTTCTTGGACCTGAAAATAGGGCCAGGCTTTTAAAAGAGATGTGACGGGGAGGAAGCAGTATCGACGGAAGTAGTGAACTGGGGTAAACATTCTGCCCAGGCTGAGCAACACTTTGTGGGAGCAACTGAGCCTCAGAGGTGGGAAGAGCAGCTGCAGTCCTTTCAAAATACCCAGGAGCCGGCCGACTATGAACAGGCAAGTGCGAGGAGGCTAGCTCTCTAACAAAGAGCATCAGCAGCTTCAAGAACTAGGGTGCAGATTCACATCCATTTAAAGGGGGGAGAAAGTGCACTGGGGTGGCCACCATGCCTGGTACTTGGAGCCAGGACGTACAGAATATTTTTAATGAAGAGGGCTCTTGAGCTCTCAGTTCCAAATGATCATCCCTTAAAACCTGACACAATTAATCATTCCCTTCAAAATGTTTGCCTTTTCATAGCATGAAACAGACTACTGAGGTCCTGCTGCATCTGGCACCTGCTGAAGTTGCCAACCTCAAGGAAGGAATCAATTTTTTTCGAAATAAGAGCACTGGCAAAGACTACATCTTATACAAGGATCAGAACCACCTGAAGGCATGCAAGAACCTGTGCAAGCACCAAGGAGGCCTGTTCATCAAAGATATCGAGGATCTGGACGGCAGGTACCAAGAGTCCTTTCCTTTCCCACGGGCAGCCTGCTTGCAATTCGATTTGTCAGGAAATGTCACCTACAAATTCTAAATGCACCCGTCGGCAGACTGCTTCCCCTGGTAAATGTTTACTCTCGCTCCTACGTCGGACATCTCTCTGAACTCAAAAGTATGTTTCCTTTCATTTTTCTTTCTCTTTCTAAGCACTCTTAATTTAAAATTCTTCCTAGCTTGAGAAGCAGTAAAACTCCTAGGTTGTATGAGTTTCTTTGGGAGCATTTGGGGTAATGGGAGGGTACACGTTTACCTGGTGTTGTCTTCAAAGACTCCAGCCTCCTCCCAGTTCTCATTCCCCTCCCTGGTAGTTTGCTATGTGGGGACGGCTGGGGGCATTTTTCCAAACCCTATAGGAAGGCAGATACCATCTTCCTTCCTGGAAGTCTGGTTATGATTACAGATTAAAAATGGCAGAGCCCCAGCTCTCCCTACCCTGATAGTTTCTTGGAAGAACAAATGCTTTGGCCGGGGCATCCCCCTGTATTATTAGATCTTCAGAGGCAAACCACAGAGCCCACTAGCTTCTGGGGCTCCTTGGAGCTGCCAGATTGGCAGGTGAAAGCCCAAGACATCCTGGTAAACCTGCATTTCATAAAAACAATGAATGTCTAGTATAAATATGTCCAAAGTAACGTGCAGGACATGTTTGCTGGCAGGTCTACCCCGGAAGACCCTCAGGAAATTTGCTGACAGCTGGTCTGATCTCTGGCTCTCTTCCCCGTGTATTCGGGTCAGGGGGGCCTTAAACACAGCTGTCTCTGGTCAACACGTGCAGCACTCAGGGCTGCTGAGGTCTCCTCTTCTGCCCTGGGGAGTGTTGAAACTGGATTTCCTTTCTTCTCTCCTTAGTGAGTCGTTTCACACAGTGCCAGTTAGCTAACCATTTAAGGAGTTGTCAAAACTTGGTGGTTAAGAGGTTATCTCTCCTCCCCAACTGCCTGCACCTGACTCCCCCACCCACAGTTTGGCAATGACATTGAACGTGTTTCACAGCCTTTCTGGGCCTCAGTCTACTCACTCCTAAGACGAAGATGAAAGTGGTCCCGACTTTGCTAGGTCTCTGTACATGATATCAAATATAAAGAAGCAGTGAAAAGAATATTTGGTGGCCCATGATGAGGCTACATAAATGTTCATCACTGTGTCATTGCCCTGACCCCTGACCCCTGTGTAGCTGGGGCAGGCTATTTATAGAACGCAGCTTTCCTCTGCACACAGCCTGCTCATCTAGATACAGGGCTGCTTTTCCACTCTAGCCTTTCTCCTTCGTCCAAAGTCTTGGGTGAGCGGGTTCCCCCATCCTTGGTTCTCCTGCCCAGGAGGAAGCAGGTATGTACCGCAGCTGGTCCTTCAGGAAGCTGGCCTGCCACAGCCTCCCAGCCACACCTGCAGACCCTGTCACTTCTCCCAGGCTTCTCTTTGCAGCTGTCCACCTGAAAACACGGCCTGTCCAGGGTGCAGTCTGCAACAGTAACCAGCCTTCTTGTTCGGTCCTTTCTTCCACTGTCAGTCTTCTTCTTGACAAATGACCACGCTCAGCAAATCTGATAAGCTGTGCTTCTCCTTGTTTAAGTCTAATGAGTCTTGGCACCCTGTCCTGTGTGCGCAGCCGCTGTCCTCTCCAGGGGCCCCTGGTTCTGCCAGCCTCCCTCCCAGGGTCCAGCATGCAGGTAGCTGCAGGTGGACTGTTCTGTCTTAATTTAGAAAGGTCATTGGCTGCTCATCACTGTGAAAAGAGGTGGCGAAATAACCAGTCATAAACTGAAGTGTGGAATATGCTTTTTCCTTAGCAAAAAGAACATTAAAGTTTTTGGATAGAATGAAGAGTGAAAGGTCATATGACTTGCTTATATGTTAAAATACATGATTTTCAATTTTTTAAAAAAAATCTGATATTTCTGGTTTAAGGTATATTTTTTGGTTAAAAAAGTTCTTCAACTCTTATAAAACAAACAAACAAGATAAGCCTTCATTGGAAACACTACTAAAATAAAGAGAAGAAATGAAACTGTCTATAACCACCTTCAACCACACCCCTTTAGCTCTGCTAAGCTTCTTTTGCTGGGGAAAACATAATGAACATGGGGTGGTAGCCCTGCTGGGTAACAGTTTGAGTCTCATAATGAAGTGGGGTTGAAACAGCAACTAAAAAGACAATAAGTTCAAATTACAGATAAACAACATATTCTAGTATTCTTGCAGATGCAGTGGTTGAATACTGAGGTGGCTGGTCCTGGTTTCACACTGCTTTGTTCCCAGGCAATGTTATTCTCTTAACTCTCCTGAACAGAAGAGGCTCCTTTGTTTTGAAGACTACTTAATTCTGTTGTCTTATTGATATCTTAAAAGCATGTCAGTTTTTGACATGCAGTTTATCTTCATTCTTTTAATCACCTTTTAATGATTAGAGTATATTTCCTTGGATATTTCAGGATCAGCCGTGAATAGTTTTTCTTTTGTGAATTTTGTATTCACCCAACTAATTTAATTTCATGGTCAAATAGTGCATCTAAAGCTAATCAAAATTAATTTTTATTTTTACTTTTTCATTAGCCTAAGTATGATTTTGTTTTTCACCCAGGTCTGTTAAATGCACAAAGCACAACTGGAAGTTAGATGTGAGCACCATGAAGTATACTAACCCTCCAGGGAGCTTCTGTCAAGATGAGCTGGGTAAATAGCAACTGTATCCACTCATGTCTTCTGCTACTGTCCCTACTGGGGTCCTTCATGTTGACCTATCTCTAAGCTCATCTGAAGCTTTGGGTAATTCTGGTTTTAAACTGTTAGAGTTCTTTTTAAATAACCAACATTGAAAATATGTTGGCTATTCCTCCAAAATAGCCCTTCATTCATTCATTGGTTTGGTAAATAGTCGTTGAGACTCTAACACATAAATATTGTGCTAGATATAGAAAGCTACAAAGACCGATAAGATAGTCAATGTGAATGAGACAATAATCACCTGCAGTGGTTGGCTAAGCCAAGCCCGAAAGAGCTAAGAACAAGGATGTCCTGGGAGGTCTCTCAACAGAGGTACAGCGAAAACATAATGAACTATCCTGTGATAGTTGGTTTGAAGTCTTATCTGTGAAGAGACAAAAGATAAACTGTGTTGTGTGTAGATCTTCTCAACAATCTGATCCAAGTTCACAACTTGAGGGGAAGTGAAGGGCACAAAACTAGCTGGTTCCTCCTGGTACAGACAGGAACTGAGTCCCCGAGATCTCAGTGCGGGGGTCCCCTCCACCCTCCTCCCTCCTGCCTGGGAAGGACTGAATAGGAAGCTCAGTCACAGGGACGAATTGCCTCTCTTCTTCCGAAGGACGAAGTCAGGACAGATTTATTTTGCAGATCACAATTGCTTTAATCACAATTCTGGACAGTATCCCACCACTTGTGCAGGTGGTATTTATTGCCAGAAGAAAAAAGGGAACCACCTGCAGGATCAACGAGGTTGGCTGCAGAATGCATCTTTTGAGGTTTTCGGCCTCTGATTGGCTAGAGGCTCGCCTACTGCGATTGGCTGAGCCTGGATTGCTAGGTCACGGGAAGCCCTCACTCGCCCTGCATCCACTCCCGCTTCTGCGACCCTTTTGACAGCTGCACCCTGTGACAGGTGTCCACACTCGCTGTCTGTTCCTTTGCCCCCTGTTCGCTTGAGCTTCTGTCCGTCCTACTCCACTAACACGGCTGCTGTCAGGTGGCCATTGCGCTCCTGCGGCCACCCCGGGGACGATTCCAGGGTCATTTGCCCATCCGCGTGGCACAGGGGCTCACTTTCCCCCCTTGGTGTGCCTCCTCTTGGCATTTGGGGAGACAAACTCTCTGTATTCATTTCCTATTTGCAACTACCACAAGCTGTCACTGCGGGCTTAGAACTGCGCAAGGGCGTTAGTGTTCATTGTGCATCTCCGGAGTCCAGCAGGGGTCTCACCGCGGGGTCAGCAAGGCTGCGTTCCTTTCCGGAAACTCTAGGCGACCAGCATTTCCTGGCTGTCCAAGCTCCCTGTCTCCGTTTTCGAAGCCAGCCACATTGCGCGCTCCATGCTCTGCCATGACATCCCCCCTGTTCTTCTGCCGGTCCTCCCACTTAGAGTGGCCCCTAATGATTACTTGGGGGCTCAGCCAGAGAATCCAGGGTAACTGCCCTACTTGAAAGCCAGCTGACTGGCGACCACAACAGTATCTGCAGCGTCAGTTCCACTCCAAGGTGCCACCTAAATTACCCTGTACTGGGATCAGAGCTCAGAGCACATTCTGCCTCCTGCAGTCTCCTGTCTGCCATTCGCACCACACTCAGCCCCTTCTCAGGCTCTGCTGGACTTGGAACATTGGGTTGCCCTGAAACTCTCTCCTCAGTTCTCTTTATCCAACTTCTTATAAATGTAAGTGATCACATCTACATTCACAGCCCCAAACACCGTCTTTACTCAGATGCTGACTTGAAAAAGTTTGCCCTGAGCTGGGTGCAGTGACACATGTCTCGAACCCTAGCAACTTGGGAGGCTGAGGTAGGAGGATCACAAGTTGGAAGCCAGCCTCAGAAATGTAGTGAGACCATCAGCAACTTACCAAGACCCCGTCTCAAAATGAAAATTAAAATGTGGTTCAGTGGTAAACTGCCCCAGGTTCAATCCCCACCACCAAAAAAAAAAACCAAAACAAAACAAACAACAACATCAACAACAACAACAACAAAACTCTGCCTGTGGCTTTCACCTCATCCCTGAGCTCAATTCTGCCCTCTGCCATCCAACTACTTATTTAATGTATCTTGCATTTCTAACAGGCTTGCGAGTGCACAACTCGACTTGTCCTCAACACTGCCCATGCAGCCTTCCGCATCTCTAAATGCACAACACCTACCACTTACACGAAGCCTGGGAGTCATCCTGAGACTCATCTCCTTACACCCCAGATCCACTCACTAATCAAGTGATGCTGGCTGTCTGGAGACGCCCAGGTCCACCGGCCTCCCCTCGTCACTCTCTTCACCCTCCTCTTGGTGCCTAACCTTTGGCCTGAATGTCTGCCTTCCTGCATCTAGGTTCGCTGTCTCCCTCTGTTTGTTGTCTCCCTATCTAATCTTTGAAAGGCCCAGATCCACTCACATTCGCTTTCCAACCCCAAACCCTCCAGAGGTTCCTAGCACACCTAGGCCTGCGCCTTCCTTCTGGCTCACCAGCCCACATCCCAGAGCGCATCTCAAGGAAATCATCAGTGCACGGCCCCGATGCAGCTCCAGGACTGTTCCTCCACAGCGTTCTATTCACAGAAGAGAAAACTTGAATACAAATTAATCATGAGAATTCCGATAGATACTCAAGTGATACAATTGAAGAAACTATAACAATAAGACATATTTTTGATACCTAAAACAAAAATTGGGTTATGAATAATATGTATAGTATATCTCATTTCTTTTTTTTTTTTTTCCTTTTTCTTTTTTTTTTTTTTTTGTTTGTGTGGGGGGGGTTCGGGGGGGGTATCAGGGGTTGTAGTCAGGGGCATTTGGCCACTGAGCCACATCCCCAGCCCTGTTTTGTATTTTATTTAGAGACAGGGTCTCACTGAGTTGCTTAGCGCCTCACTTTTGCTGAGGCTGGCTTTGAACTTGCCATCCTCCTGCCTCAGCTTCCTGAGCAGCTGGGATTACAGCTGTGCACCACCATGCCCAGCAGTATATCCCATTTCTGAAAAAGATCTACATGCACAAACATGCATGGGTGATAGAAGGCAGGCTGAGTGGTGGTCACCTGCTGCAGTGGCTGAGCAGGGCCCTGGGCTCTGGACTGTGGACTTCAATTATTCCATCTTTACAATTTTTTCAGGCTCACGTTATTATGACCATACTATATGAGATGGTACACCAGGGCCGTTTCCACCCATGCGCCTCTGTGGAAGGCATGCATCTCTAAAGAAAAAGACCCTGTACAGGGATGAAAGGACCTGGGCATCCTCCCAGTCCCCCTTGGAGCAGAGAGCCACTGCTGAGGGGCACTTCCTTCATCCCAAGGAGACAGAGTGCTCTTCTGGAGACAGTTGCTATTTGCTTTGGCTACAAGTTCATCTTCCCTCCACCTCTCAAAAGGGACACCTGAACACCACCTGTTTTCCCCAGTGAACTTCGCCCAGGTCTGTTGAGCAGGCCTGGAAAGCCCGCAGACAAGTCTCCATGCTAGGAACTGGTTATTGTGCTGTACAAATATTATTAAATTTATCTGGCATAAACTCACCAGAAACGTAAGTTTAGGCATGAATGCCATTAGTTTGCAGAAGTGAAATGAGCAGATTATGAACATATTACTTGGAAATCTAGAGCTGTTTAGGTGCTTTTCTGGAAACCGTGAGGTCTATTAGACAAGAGCTCCGAGAGCCGCCGCAGCGCTGTGGTGGGGGGACAGTGATAGGCTTGCCACACTGCCTTGCCGTCCCAGCTCCGTGATGCTGGGTGAGTTACTCAACCTTTATGTGTTTCAGTTTTCAGAAATGCAAAGTGGAAATGATATTGTTAGTTCCCATCTTAAGAATTTTTAAAATGAACACTTGTTAAATTCTCAGTACTTGATACACAGAGCATGATGATTTATCTGGGTGTGTCCGTCTCAAGTAACCTGCTTGTATCCTCGGGAACCACAGCAGCAGGAGAGGAACGAGGGATCTCCCTACCTGCATGAAGTCGGCTCAGCTGGAAAAGCCATGAAGGCTGGGAGCCGAAGGAGGGGGCTGGTGCTCCTGGCTATGGTGGGTAAAGGGCAAGGCCAGAGGAGGCAGCAGGTGGTGGCCCAGGAGATGGCCAACCCCCATGAAGTTCGACTTCTGCTCAACCAAGGAAGCCCCATGGGACTGGGAAGATTTGCAAACAGGGCTTGCTCTTCAGTCCAGTGCTGCCAAGACTGAAATGATTTCATAACGAGTCCCAAGAAATCGGTGGGCACAGTCCACCTCGGGGCAGGCTCAGCTAGTATTGGGTTTTATTATCATTAAAAAATATAGGGCCATAATCAGAAAATTGGGAATCAGAAAGGCAGGAGTGAGAAGAGGTCACCTGCTCTCCCACGTGGAAGCCGTTTTGATATATCTCATTCCAGACTTTGCCGCCATCCCTCTCTCCTGCACCATCTCCTCTCCTCCTCTTCCTTCTTTTCCTTCTTCAAGAAACAACTCAAGTACCATAAAATTCACCCTTTTTAATGTGTCCAATTTAATGATTTGTATCATATTTACACGGCTACGCGACCACCACCACTACTTAATTCCAAAACATTTCATCACTCCAAAGAGAAACCCTGTGACCAGTGATCACTCCGCATTCTCTTTATTCCCAGCCCCTTGGCAACCAGAAATCTGCTTTCCGTCTTCATGAGTTTTCCTTTTCTGTAGATGTCACATACTTGGGGTACTACAACACGTGGCTGGCTCCTTTTACTTTGTGTAGTGTGTCCAAGTTTGGTCCATGTCACAGTGTGTACCATCTTTATCTCCTTCTCTTTAGTGGCCAAACCTTGCTTCCCGTGGCTGCATCCCACTCGGGCGAGGATGAGTGAAGCTGCTGTAAATATTCATGTGCAAACTTTCACGCAGACACTTGTGGTGGTTCTCTTGGTCGTACACCTGGGAACGGGACTGTGGGATCACGAGGCAGCCTGTGGTCACCTGGAGGACTGTCA